CATTATCTGACGGAGTCAACTTGTGCTTCCAACAGGATCTCCTTGCATATATTTACCGAGCATTGAGAAGGGAAACATTTATAATGCTAGAAATAAATTATTTTTCCCTGTCCACACTACTGCTCTGCAGCAAATCTCTTTCTTACAAAACTGCACACGTTCCAGTCCTTTGACTTTGAGGAGAGGGGTAATTTAAATTCTCAGCTCTTCTTCCATTGGTGAAATTGAGGGCTCCTTATTAGGTGCCAGGAGACTTGGGAGGCCCAACCAACATGAAGTTCTTTATTAAAGAATCTTACTTTCTCTATGGGATGAAGAGAAATTGGGTCACGTGAAATATATAAAGAATGGCGGGGGGGGGGGGATTTTCCCCCAACTTTCTGGGGAATGCCAACAACTCTGCTTTTGTTGCTAAGAAGCTAGAGAGAAAGAGAGAAACCAGCCAGATTTTTTTTTAAAAAAAAAGCCCATGAAATACAAGAGTGTCCCAATTCAGACACAACATATTGTTAAAAGTATGTTTCCTTCGTTTCACAGCAAAATAAAAATCCATTTCACTGTTAACCGCTTGCTAACTAACTTTTTTCACACTAATTTGCTTAAATAAGGATTACTTTTTTGTTTATTTGTTTTTCATTAGCAAAGCTAATATTCCAAGAGAAGAGAATATATGTAGCTCAGGGTTGGACTGTGATATCCTTGGTGCTCTCTGGGTTTGGTTGTTTGCTTGAAGTCATTTCATTACCTGACTAGGTAATATCTTCAGTGCTGGGGAATGCGGGGTTTGTAAACAACCAATGCCAAAAAGCTCCAAGGACTCCAGAGCTAATATTGTCACTAGCAAAAAAAAAAAAAATGCAAACTTGTTTGGTAAGTCAACATAATTCATCAAAGATGAATACATACATTAGCGAGTCGCAAACCTTATCAACCAGATATTTCTTGTACAAAAATGCAAACAAAAATTATTCCGCAGCTCTAGCAAAAAGAAAGCCTATGTAGCACATTGGTCCTTTTATCTTCTCTCAAATTGAATTCAACACGATTCACACTGTGAGCAAGCATTTTATACCTCTTGCCAGGATATATGGGCTGATGCATTAAAGGCAACGTAACTCAGCACTCATTTTTCATTTTGGATTGGTAAACAGGTTTTTTTTTTTTTTTTAAGAAATATTGTCAACCATTCAGACAAGTTCTCCCTGGAACAAAAAGGAACGCTGGCCGGTCTCCAATGTCTCCTCTGGGGTCAAGGTATTAAGAAAGTGATAACAGGGCTGACATTTGTTGAAGGGAAAGAAAAAAGCTATCTTGCCTCGTCCTAGTTTGCTTTCAGACAGAAGGTGTGACAAAGACGTTATAAAGTCACCACTGCTTAGGGTCTCGATAATTGAAGAAGCTTCTCTCTCTGCGTTTAAGTCTGCTAAAAGGAGCTCTTTTCTGTGTGGGGGAAAAAAACGAGGGAAGTCAATCATGTGACGCTATTCCGTCTTCAGAGGTACAGATAGCACCAGCATTGTCTTGTTTATGATAAGCTAGAAAACCTTCAAGGTCCTGTCGACTGCACTTCAGCAAAATTTTATTTTGTGATTACTGAATTTCCTCGAAAACAAAATGTTGTGGCCCGCCAGCAGCCAGCGGAGTTGGCAGCAGAGTCAGACAATGAGGGAGGTTGGGGAGGAACCTGGGCCAGTCCTAGAGTCTCGGGCAGGCTCTGACGAAGGCTCTAAGCTGGAGGCAGAGAGGGGGCCAGGGCCATCCGGCAGTCATCAGCTGCCTTCAGAGTTGGAGATCAGTAAGGCAGAAGAAAAGCTGAAGCCTGTTCCAAGTGTGCACATGGGCAGAGCTGCCAGGAGAAGAGAACAGCTAAGGAACAAGGGTTAACTTGGGAGTAAAGCCACAGGTGGATGGTGAATGGCCCCTCCCAGAGGGAATAAAGAGGAGAAAAGGGGAGTGGTGTTTGCAGGAGACAATTAGTTCATTTAATTAGGGTGAAGATTTGTTCCTGACTCCTTGCCAAGTATTTTCTGGTACAGCATTGCTCTTGGAAGCTATCGGCCTGGCAACTCTCCAAGCTTGATAAGGTCTGGGGTTGTAAATCACTTTTGCCGGGAACTTTGTTGGATGTGAATGAGAGGAATTCACATCAGCCTAATCAAAAAGGGTTTTGTCGGGACAAGGAGTTTGCTTTGTGATTTTGTGAAGCCTTGGTCAGAACAGAAAACTATTCCAAAAGAAGGGAATTAGAAAGAGACGATTAAAAAGGAGGAAGAAAGCACGCAAAAGATGGCTTGTGGGATTCTTTCCAATCCATGTATCATCAGTGGGATGTTCAGAAAGAGAAGTGAAAAAAGCATTCTCAATCTTCTCCCCCTCCACTCCCCCCCACCCCGTCCCCCGGGGCCAGGCTGCTTCCCCCATAGAGACAGACTGAGAAAAAAACATTCTAGATTTATTTTCCCCTTCGCAGCTCCTAGCCTGGTTCAGCCCAATTTTTAAACCTTTGTTCTTGTTGTTAGCTTCTCTACCAACATTAAAAGTGATCCCGCTCAGTGTTGGTTCTGAATGGTTGGCCTATCATGCACTGAGTCTCAACTCTCTTTCCAATATTTTGCTGGGTTGGAAACAATCAAAACAGAAATAAAACTCCTGTGCAAGGCTCAGACTTTCTCAATCTGCCTCCAGCTGGACATTAATTCTGGAGGTTCCCTCCTCAATTTAATGTGCTGTGACATATTTGCATTTGTGGCACATGTGCATGTCTCTATGTATGCTGGTCAGAATCCATCCATCCCTCCCAAAGCAAATACATTTGAAGTTGTATTCGTCAAATCACTAATTCAAATTAACTGCCAATAAAGTACCCAATTTTATTTGGCTACCAATATAACTTTCTCTTACATACAAGCTACACTGGCACACAAAGTCACCCTTTCCTTCGCTTCCATTGGAAATAGGAAAATAAAAGGAGGGGGAAGAAAGGAAGAGAAAAGGAACGAACAAAACTAGAACGGTTAATCCACACTTTCAGCAGTCGATATCTGTTACCATTCTGCTTTTTTTCCTATTCTGCTCAGCAAGTGTGGCTCATTCCCCACCTCGATCCCACATACACCATTAATGAATACATACACCTGCATTTATTTCATCATCAATGCTGGATTGTGACTTCTGCTTACCGTCAGTGAATTGTTTTAATCACTACCCCCTGCCCTAAAATTTACACGGGGAGGCTAATGATATTTGAATAAACACAGCCACTTACTATATACCAGCAGGAGTTTGTCAACTGTAGAAACTATTTTGATAGGACAGGTTTGTCTGCCTTGCGTGGTGGCCTCCGATTAATCCTGCCATTTTCTCTATACTGTGCCACCCGTTAAACTGCACTGAAAGCTATGCTACTTTTAGCACAGCCTTAGCCTGAAAAACTGGCTTTTAAGAAAATACATCTGTGAGAGAACATGTGCTATTATCTAGCAGGAAGGGGAAAAAATGATAGAGGTTTGGCCAGTCACTATAATGGGACTGCCTGACACTCAATATTTGAACTAGCAAAACATGATCAGCTCTTTATTGAAGTTATTATCCACATGCTTGTATAAAAACAGAGTGTCAGGGTTCTGACGGATGCCCTAATTAATTCATGAGCCTCGAGCCAAGTTTCAAAAGAAATCCAATTATTTATTAGGAGCGACACTTCGGCACTTTTCCCAAGTGCAGTCAACTTTGCCCCACTTCACATCTCTCTGGCTGGCTCTATAACCTGGGATACAATCTGGAGAAAGGTATGCGTGGAACGTGCTTCTGGTCATAGCAACCGAGCTGCTCCATCAGTTCTCCCCCCTCCTGCCTATGGCAACTCAAGAGCAGGCCAGGAATGCTTTACGAGTTGACGCAGAGCTTGTTACCAACTTAAGCTAAAGCATTAAGCGTTTCAAATAAAGAATAATCAAAAATTAATAGATGTTTATAAGATTGCTTTGTTTTTTTAGACTGTATTTTATGTAAGCCATTTAAATAACTTTTGTGTCAGGCTGGTTACTGACTCTTATTACAACACTAGCTTCAGTATGAAAATACTTTAACGTTGTGAGATGCTCCATTGCTGGAATTTTTCAATAAAAAATTGGACTACTGTTTGTCCGGTATGATATAAGGACTTCTGCCTTGGGCAGGGGGTTGGACTAGAAGACCTCCAAGGTCCCTTCCAGCCATATGATTTTATGATTCAGTATACATATCTCCTTTAGTCTACTCTTATTTTTTAACAAATAAGGCATTTGATTTTATTTATGAAGCACTTGGGCAGAATTCCATTGTTATTCCCCCTAGAAATGATTAGGAAAAGGTTCCCCTCGCATATATGTGCTAGTCATTTCTGGCT